TAACAAAATCTGCATACTTAAATATGTATACACTATAAGATGATCAGAGAGACTTTGTATGAAAAGGTAACCGCCAAAGCAGTGGTGGTAGGGGTGCTTTCTTTTACCCACTTTCAACAACCACCTCTTAATGTATTTGCACAGTTTTTCACGTTATTAATTAATTCATGGTCATTGGCCACAGAAGTGTCTTACAAGTCGAAGTTGAGAGGCCACAGGTCAAAGTAGGAAGTGGGTATAACTCAAGAAACGGCTCTTCATGTCAACCTTAAGGTGGCTGTTGGAGTAGAAACTTCAGCTGAGTTTGTATATTATTGGAAAAGTGGTGACAACTTGTTTCATTACATTCCTCCGTAGACAGTGCTAATGCACTCTCTAAGATATTTAAGACGTTTATGTGCTCTCCTTCCAGACTGTGTGTATGTTGTGTTATGGTAAATTTAATAAAGTTTTTTTGTGTGTGTCTCAGGATGTGGCACCATCATGAATGTAATTCACGTTAACTTATGTCAATTATAATAAATACTCAATAACAGCAATAATGGGGTGGAGAAAACCCTCCACTAGCGTGCCCCTTGTTTGAAACTATCATCCCATAAAGTTTGGTTGAGATTGACCTTGCGACTTAGGAGTAGTTAGATAACGGACAGACAAACAAACAGACACATAGATTTTTGTTTGAAGATGTAAAGACATATCTGTTGCTAATTTATTTCAACGTCTAGGAAAAACTGTGAAATTCGGGTAATCTATATAACTGTGAAAGTTAACTTCATCTGTTAACTAAAGTTTGATATTTTTCGGGTTTCAGTAATTTTGCTGATTAGATGTAGAGTCATTTTTAGATACTGAATTATGATTTGTAGGTTTTCTATATAATCTATCTTGCTTACAATTGCTGTGCAGTTTCTTGTATCGTGAACTGCTATTCGATGGAAGATATGATGTTGATGGTCGAAAGATTACTAAGAGTTATAGCGAAATTAAGACTGGTAGATAAACTAGTTCTGTGTATGTGATAAAGATCGAAAACTTAAGTTTTTGTGGTCCATTATTTATAGTTCTAGTGTAAAATATAAGCTTGTTCAGTTTATATATATATCTTTCATCTTAAATTTTGTCATAGGATTTATTAATCCTCACCACCTACAGTTGAACATATACATGGTCATCACTACCTCCAACTTCAGTCATAGCCTTCCACATGTAAATGGCTGACATTATTGACAACTTTCTCTTTAATGATTTTCATATTTATACATAATATATGTATATAAATATATAAATTTGATATATGTAGAATATACAGGATTATTTTTGTAGCACTCTAATATCTTTAAATTATGTGCGGGACGAAGGGAAATTGCTTAATTTCGAAAATAAAACCCGGGTATTAAAGCCCAAAACCCGACCGAGAAAGAAAATCAAAGTCAAAGTTGTCATAATCATGAAACGAATTTTGGGTGGAACCACGAGCGGTCAGAGATAAGAAAACAGTTTCTCTAAGCTGTATGACGTATATTTGTTGGTTAGCATAGTCATGTGATAAAGTTCCATCTTATCTACTTGTTTCTACATTTGAGTAAGCATATCTGGAATGTATTGTGTTAGGTCGTCATTCATTCTGTGTAGCCTTGTGAGAGTGATTACCCAGAGGTTACTAATGTGAAGCTGTCGTATCGGTTGAGCGTAGGTTGGTGTAATTTGATGTGAAGGGATTCTTTAATTTTTCTGATTTCATATTGGTGTGCTGTTTCTGGAATTTGATGTTGGTCTCAGTTCATGATATGGCTTATTTTGAAATTTTGTTCTGCTAATGCTGATTTTTACGAATGCATCGGTCTACTTGTGTCCTTCCAATACAAGCAAAAAGCACGGCCCCTTTGAAAGCAGGAAAAAATGCTTGTCACCTACACGATACTTGTAGACAGGCCAAGAATGCTTTGATACAAGGACGTTTTCTCCCAGTTAGCGATGTGACCGTGTCCAATACTTGGAGGAGCAACAGGACAGGCATAATGATCGTTAGAAGTAGCTTTCTTCATATTCAGGTGAAAACCGCCATTCACAAAGTGTAACCCTTTCTGTTGAATAAAACTTTGTTGTCATAATTGCTGTTCCCCATTAACTAAATCGTTATTACTGCATTAGTTTGGGATAAGCGAAATAATATATATATATATATATATATATATACACAATTTTTGTATCTCATTGATGTTCTGCTTTAAAATGCATGATATTTAACTGCATTTAAGCTTTGAATTTGTATACTTTTTATAAAAATGAAAGTATTTAATGCCATATACAATTCTTGTTATAACATGTTATTGTTGTTAAATTGTCCGCAACAAAAAATAAAGATTGTGGGCATTTGGTATCTTACACCATAACAGTTTAAGTGACACATAGGCTAAACGGCTAGGTTCAGGTATAATCTTTCCTAATTTAAAGCTAGTAAATAGACGGTGGTCAACCAGTGACAAGTACCCACCGGCTGTGATGACATGGCTCTCACTTTTATAACGCACCTACAACTAGAAGTGTGGGAGAGTGTATTCAGCAACATGTCACACCTTGAATTTTAGACCTTCTGATCCGCAGTCTGGAATGTAATTACTATGTATATTATTTTAGTATTTGTTCTATGATTCCACATTTAGTGGGATTAAAGATGAGAAATTACACGACTTGTTTTGAGCAGATTATTCGAACAAGCATAGAAAGATTAAAAATAAAAGTTCTAACCATTGAATAATTAATTATGTATAACCTTAAAAACCAGATGATTGGTATTTTTTTTTTTTTCAAAACAAGAAATAACTAGCAGGTGTTAATTGGTCATAATCACAAGTATATAGTGACGTAACGATAAGGTACCTTTTTGCTCGAAAATTAACAAAGGATTCTTTATTTTAGATAATAACACCCATAAATAAACAATAATAACCACACATGTACGAAAAATTAACAGCTGTCACACACATATTATGAGCCACAATTTCAAAATCCATTTATCTTGGTTATTTATCAGTGATTTAATAACACCCAAAATTTGCATGTACATATTATGTAGATAGATACTGATTAGTTATTAATTGGGACTCCGTACCACCACATGAACATTATAGTTCGCATAGGATGATCATTTGATGTGTCAGGTGATTGAACCCTTTAAGTGCAGAAATGTTGTCAGCCATACCATTGGTAAGATGTAAGATAATGAGTAAGATCAAGGTTCTCTCCAACTTACAAAGAAACATCACAGTAGCTGCCTATCCAGGAGAAGCGTCATCATCAAATACCATTTATTTGAAAGGCTATTCAGAGATATCTCTCACAAAGGTCAATAGTTGTAATTAAAATAAAGTATAACTAGAACTAGGAAACTGATAACAGACCAAAGGAAAAGACAAATGGGTATGCTCGTCAGGTGCAAAATATATCATAGTGTGTCTAGATCAATTCTTTCTGCAGTATGTGGTCAGGGTTCCATTATCTTAAGCTGTACCACACCACACAAAAACAAAACGTCGTAAGGATGCCGACAACACTCCAGAAACAGATAATTTCAGATGCAACCACAAAAACGAAACCTAGTTGCAGTGGAAAGTAAATAGTTGTGTAGGTCTGATAAGTCTTGTTTCACCATTTTCTCTCTCTATATACCAATGAAGAATGAAATACGGAAAAAGAACCAAAGGCACTTGACTCTGTTTGTGTTAGTCTAACAGTGCAGGTTCTCAAGGTAATGTAATGGTCTGAAGATCGTTCTCTGGTATGAGTAAGGTTCTTTGATTCCTTTTGAAGGCCGAATAATCTGTAAATTGCACTTAAATATTCTTACCGATTATGACCGACTACCCTTAAATACTAAGATTTCATCTAATATTTAAGTTGAGCTACCTTTCGCCCCAATAATATTCTGGCCCAGATTCTACAAGATGCCGTAAATCATCTAGTTTGATTGTACCCCAACTGCCGAGACGTGTGATCTGCAATTGGTACACAGAAAGTCTAAGATGATAGCCGCATATAAATGGAATGTTCTAAAATATGTAAGAGATTTTATAATAAAATACCCAATTAACGTTTGTGTACATATTTATAGAATGTACTTGTTTATGTTGTTAATTATATATCCACATTACACAATTGTTATTCAGTTTGCACTGATTTTCGTTCTGGGTTTAGACTTTCTAAAGTAAACATTAATGTAACGATAACCCTGTAATATTAAATGCATTATTATGTTTTATCATGACATCTTATTGCTTTAATTTTAACACTATTAATAAGGAAACAAATCATCCTAAAAACACAAATTTAATTCGACCTACTCTGTACTCTAAATATGATTCATATTAATTAAGTATATTGTTTTTAATATCTGGACCTTTTACCTTAATAACAATATAGATCTGAAGAGAAGGCATATAAATACATGGTTGCTTTATTAACTGCAACATAAAATAACTATATAATGAAACACATAACACGGCCCAACGCTGTGAAACGAGATATTCTTTTGAACAATGGCTTACCCTATTCAAATAATGCAAAACGTCATAAATTTCAAATGTTTCTATATAACTAACTTACTATAATTTCAAAATAAAGCGCTTCCGTTTTTCCAACATTGATTATCTTTATAGCTTGCCGGGCTGTCTCATTGACATGGCATTCCAGCAACACCGTCGACTGTCCGGATTTTTCAAGACTGGGCTATGAGTATGAAGGAAAAAAATTCTGAAAATCAACTATGAAAATCTAGATACTTATGCATATATATATATATATATATATAATAAATAAAACCACATATCATACAATGGTTTATCATTATTGAATTAACAGATCACAAACATCCGTATAAAGTTTCTAGTGAATACAGTCGGCACTATTTACATTAATAATGTATTTACTTTTGTACCCGAAAGTTTGTTGATAACGGCAAAAAAAGTGAAGACTTTATACAATATTACATACTGTAAAAATACCTAACAATTCAAACTTTACACTAAATCTAGGGATATGTTTCAAGTTTTAAAACTATAAATACGAATTTTTATCATAATATACTTGTTGACTTATCTACATATAGTCACCAATTAAAACACGTTTAGAAAAAAAAAAGCCTAACCAAGAAAATTAAACACTAAACTAATATACTGAAATAATATCTCATTTAAAGTGTACAAATGACAGCTCGTTATAGTCTCTACTCTTATAAATCTAGATAATGTCTATGTTTGTATTTGTTAAGTACTTATAAAGTTTAAGGTGATTCATGATTAAAAACAACAGTAAAATAACATTTAGAAGAGTTATATTGGTTGTTGTAAATTTAATGGAATAAAATATAGAACGAGTAGATAAATACAAACAAAACGATGAGCCAAATATATATATAAATCTTTTAAAACATAATAGGATAACAATAACTTGGTACCAAACTATGTTTACATTTTATAATGTTAAAATGTTTGTTTGTTTTGTTTTGGAATTTCGCGCAAAGCTACACAAGGGCTATCTGCGCTAGACGTCCCTAATTTAGCAGTGTAAGACTAGAGGGAAGGCAGCTAGTCATCACCACCCACCGCCAACTCTTGGGCTACTGTTTTACCAACGAATAGTGGGATTGACCGTCACATTATAACACCCCCACGGCTGAAAGGGCGAGCATGTTTGGTGGGATGCGGATTCGAACCCGCGATCCTCAGATCGTGAGTCGAGCGCCTTATCCACCTGGCCATGTTAAAATGAATTTCCATTAACAATCACTTGGAAACACAATAATACTAGTGTTATATTATAGCTTTAAAATATTAAAAAACCGAAAACGTCTTTGTGACCTTGAAATGGTGGTTTTCTATATCCTGCTAAACTGAGTTGATGGAAATTATTTTTACAATTCTGAAGATGTAATAATATGAAGTACAACAGTCCCAGGAAATGTTCCAGAGCATAGTAAACTGACCATAGAGTTTGTCTACCTTAAATTACGTGTCCCCCTAAAAAAAAAAAATCGTATGCAGAAACCTTCCTGCACTCAGTTTACATCTGTCGGCTGTTTTCTAAAACAATATTTAAAATTTAACCCCATATACACTGTAAAACATTTTCTAGGCCACAGTATTTTGATAAGACTATGAGTTTCTATCTTGCTAGAGTTTTACAATCTGTTACTTTGAGGCAGCATTCTCTGCATTTCGTTGCATCATCCAATAGCTTTAGCTTTCGTCTTCGATAAACAAATGAAAACTTAATTGAACTAGAATACAATAGGTCAGTTATATTTCACAAAACCCTACTGGTACATGGGTAATTCACAATGTCAACGAGGGGTGTGCACAACGGGAGACAAGCTAAGGCACACCCTTCCCCCCAATAACTTTATGCATTCGGATTCGGTCATTCTGATGAGTGCAATACTAATTGTTTCTATGATTTCTGTGCGTGTTTTCGTATGGTTCATATATGTGTGTGTGTGTGAGTGGGTGTTTAATGAGCCTCTGCCCCCAGTAGCGATCAAACGTAAGTTCCTAAGCATAGCCCAGCTGTCAAATAGTGAAAAAGTGTTTTCTTGTGACACGTAGTAGAAATAATTAAGGGGGTTTTTCATTTACTTCTCCATTAGACTTTTCAGCAAGCATATTTGCCAGATCCTAGATGTACTTCCCCGAAAGTGTTCTATTTCAAGACTAACTAAATCCAAAATTAAGAGTAACAAATACTTTTATTTCATGCTTTTAAAATTTCATATATCATGCATGCTCTTTTGTAGTCTACAGAGTGCATAATTCTTTTCATGATTCATGGCATGCGCACGTTTTATTGACGTCCCGACAGTAAAAATTGCAACGTTAAGCATCCCTTATGTGTCGTCATTTTAGTGTCTACAGACTGACTGACAGATAACACACAACTGTATAGTGAAGTGAATTGTTAAAGCCATTCTGGGAAAAGATATCAGTTTTTGAAGTATTGAATTTCAAAGTGATCTGAATCTGTGTGGTTTTTAATTTGGAAATGCCCTTAAAAGTTTTATTTATTAATGTTTATACGTACGAAAAATAGTCCATGTTATTTTAATGAAGGACACTATGATACCAGAACCAGATGTTTAGAATTAAGTGAATTGTTGAATCATTGAAAACATTTTAATTATTTTGTATGGAAAGCTATCACTATAATAAGTATTTTATATTATTCAAAAGTTGGAGTTCAGCACGTCTGCTTGTGTAACTATTTCCGCTCATCAACTGATATCAACTTTACTAAGTCTTTTAACTCCAAAGCCAAATGAAGGGTATCTAGCAGCCTATAGCTATCACTGTGTCGCAACCTTATGTACATCCAGTGTATAAATGTATAAATTAGTAACGAGCTCGTGAGTTTAATATATTCTTGTTAATTTTTTATATATTCCACCAGTCTAGTCTTATGCGAACTAGGGAAGAAGGTTTCATGTTTAGCCGTATTTTTCTAGAACTATATACTTTTCGTGAAGTAAAAATTAAATGAGTTGAAAAAAAATTTAAATGGGTGAAAGGACAAAGATTGGAATCTTTTATCCATGTTGCTTTTTCATCGTCGAATTCTTTAAAGTGAACATACAACTGACTAGCTCGCTGCACACCACTGTATCCAGCTCAATATGCAACTCTGATCTCTAGTCGTTCCTTTGGTCAAGTGAGCTGGGAAGATTATGCACACCCTGGACCTTTACCTCCTTCCTTGGCTGTTGGTTTAGTTCTTGATTGTCTACTAGGGTTTTTTTTCTTCTTAATCTGTTTTGTATTTTAGGTAATTTTTATGTCAGTTAGAGATATGCCAAAAGCCTTGAACTAATTATTTTTTCTAGTAGTTTACCAATACAGTTCGTTAGGCTGATTGGTCTATAGATTTCTGGTTTATTTGCTGGCTTTCCTTCTTTGAGAAACATTACTACGTCCGCTAGCTTTCAAGCAGTTGGTATGTAACATGATTGTAGGAATATATTAAATATAGCAGATAGATGGTTGTACAGTCTTGGTGTGCCTTTTTAAATAAATATATATCGTATTTTGTCATTTCCTGGAGCCTTCTTTTTTGTGTTTTTAAGGAAGTCTTGTATTCCTGGTACTGTTACTGGTTTAATGAATTGTTTTTGTCAGGTTTTATTGGGCCGCAATTCCTTACAGTAGGTGTGTGTGACTTCTTGGCAATAAGTTTCAAGAATAAATAAACGGCACACAGTCCAACTGTTTTAAAATAATATATTAAAACAAGTCAAACGTATATACCAATTTTCGTTACAAAGTTGATCACCACAGTTGAATCCAGAGCTTTAAATTATTTTATTTTTCATCAAAATTCCACATAGGCTGGTTCAGTTACCTTAGAACCCAACTGACAAGACGAATTAATCTTCTCTACTCTGTTATTAAAATATAATCTGCGATTATTACACTTTAGAAGTCGCCACTATGCACTCTTTATGCGTAAACTAACGATCACCCGGTCTACATATATCTCTGTCTCTTTTTCTTTCTAATTTTCCAACACACACAAACACATATATATATATATACTCTTGAGAGCATTCTACAGCTTTCTATACACTACTAGATATCGCATGATGCAACGATACTCTATTAAAGCAACAAATAATTCATAAACAGTTATGTAAGCAAACTTGCCAAAATTATCGCTTCTAAAAATAACTTACTTTAATGCTTGCACTATACAAACTAAATAACACTCTCATGTGAAACTTAAAATTAAAAGTCATGTACATCTAACAATAAACCCGTCTTCATAAAAAATATTTAAAATATTTCTATATTATATACAAAGATTGTTTCTCAATTCATGCGCAACGTCTACTCATACAGTCTCTTGGTGGTCTCAATGCGGAACCAATAGTTCTGGAGATACAAAGCCATGCACTGTCCATTTTGCACCTCTGGATGCATGGAAGGGATTGTTGGTCCATCTGGATGATGCACTACTTTCCTAAGAGGTAGTTCTGAAACTTCCAGATGACAAATATGATGTCCAGTCACTCTGTTTGATCACAGAGTGGTTCTTCTTAATACTCAACAGCTTTTTTCTTATGTACATTACTAGAAAAAGTTCATCTTCAAGTTTTTCTAGGAATACTACTCCAATTCCAACGTCTGAAATATTGGCTTGAACGATAAAAGGTTTGTTAATGTCTGGAATTCTAAGGATTGATGAACCTCCTAACATGTTCTTTAACTTCTGGAATGCCATCTGCTGTGGTTGTTTTCACTTCACCTTGTTGGGTAGGCCTTTCTTGGTCAGATCAGTTAGTGGTGCAGTAACCTCAGAATAGTTTGGTGCATCTGGTATGTGTGATACCTTCTCTTTTTCAGTGGTAATCTGTCGGTTTCTCACCTTGAATCCAACAAAGTCCAGCACAGAATAGTTAATGTAGCACTTAGATGGTCTGATGAGCAGACCTGCTGCCCTCTCTCACCCGAAGAACTCTATGAGTTTCTACAAGTGATTTTCCTAACTGGCTGTGTGGGTCAAAATGTCTAATGTTTGATGTTTGTAGTTTTATGCAATATCTTCCTCATCATGATGGTGAATGTCACTGTTGAGTTGACTAATCCAAATGGTATTCTCTTGAACTGGTAACATACATATGGTGTCACAAAGGCTGTCTTCTCTTTTGATTCTGTCCCCAATGGGATCTGCCAATAACTTTTACT